GGACGGGCCGCTGAGGTGTTCGCGAAAGTGGTCCGCTCGACAAGGACCGTCGCGGAAGATCCGTCGCCGTGGGGTGGGTCGCGTCGCGGAGGACGCGTACCTCGCGGAGAGGTTACCGCGCGCGAAAGGGGTCGGTTGAAGCGGATCGCGCGATTCGTGCGAGGATTCTCTGGTTCGAATCGTTTTTTTTTGGCGTTGTAAAACGAAGAATGGAAAAATCTAAGAGGAATATAAAAAACACGAGTGGATTATTGTTACAATTGTGAATAAAAAAATTGACATACGTACACGCTGATAAAATATATTGAACGGTGCAAACAATTGCCGTGTACATGTGGTGCGAGAAGGTTGACGTACGTAAAAAAAATGTGACACATCGAATAGAGAGACACAAAGATGCAATATATTTATTGTAAAAAATACATATCGAATATTACAAATAATTGATAACGCATATACTCGCGACACCGTTCGAGGCGCGCCGTCGCAGCCAGAGTGGCCGGCGACTCGAATCCGCGAGTCTCTTCGTCTATATCGCGTCGCACTCCTCCGCGTGGCACTTGCACGCGACCTGGCCGCATCGTCGACACGTTCGGTCCACGTTCGTGACGAGATAGTCCTTCCACTCCTCGCCTCTCCGGTACGCGCACTCCTCTCGAGAAACGGCGCACGCATCGCAGAAGGCGTCGTCGTCGGACTTGCGCTCCCACTGCAGCCTGTGCTCGTCGATCCGCCGTTTCGCGGCGGCGGGATACCTGAACTCGCCGTAGACGCGCGGGTCCGTCACCAGCAGCTCGACGCTCTCGCCACCCGCGGGTATCTCGATGCGCAGATGGGCGCGACCCTCGAGCCTCTCGACGACTCGCCTCGCCCAGTAGCTCGCGTTCTCCGCGCGACCGACGCGCCAATCGATTCTCTCGAGTTCGCCGCGCACCCGCCTCTCGTAGTCCTCGCGCGCTCTCTCGCGGTGCCACGCGTACACCCTTCGTCTCGCGCCGCGGGGCCAATCGCGCACGGGCCCCTGATCGACCCCCTGTCTCGCCGCGCCGGTTCCGCGCACACCCAGCTCTCGATCGCGGAGAAACCGCACCGGCGACACGTGCGCTCGCGAGACGGGCGAACGGAGAACGC